ATGGCGGCTGAAGCAGCAGTGAGCGTCCAGCGTGAGACACTGTTTTCACCATAATCAAATCAACATTGTAAACGAAATTCTACAAAAAGATAAAAATCAATTTATCATGCAAAGCGATAAAATGGCTTCTCTTCCCTGCAAACGATACAATGAAGAATGTGAATACAAAAACAAAACAAAAGATAAACAGGTATCCGTATTAATTTCAGCATTTTTAGCAGAGGGCGATCCTCCCAGAATGGCGGCAGCGCCCCAGCATGCAACGCGGCGTGACGTATCTTCACAGTCTATAATAGCAATGCAGAGTCTGTCTAACCGTTTTAAAATACAGCTTTCAGTTTAATTCAAATGGGTCCGATATGTTTTGTGGTCCGTGCCGACTCTATTCCGAGTACTATTCACCATATAAAAACTGTAACTGTGTGTAACAGATTTAATTTGGAATCTCCTACGACTAATAAACGTGGAGGAGTTCAGATCAACACAGTCTCGGCTACCGTTTATTGTTTTCTTATATTTGCAAGTGTTTAAGGCGAACCCTCGGTATGAACGCTCAGTGACGTGTGAATAAATGAACGATTTCAGCTGCAGCAATAGCGTCTTGAAGGGAGCGGGACGTTTCAGATATCTGAAGTATGAGGTGATGCAAAAAAAAATCATTGATCCATTTTGGCGGAAGTGACAAACTGCAAGCTTTGAATGCTTATATCTTCTAAATGCGAATTTTGTCACTGTTTTGGAGCACACTGGCTTATAGACAACCTTAAGACTAACATATTGATACTAACACCCAAAAAACTTTATTTTGATTTCACGGGGACTTTAAGTAAACCAAAAATGTATTTTGTTAGATGATCAAATTTATTTAATCATATTTGCCATATTCTTTTTACTGTCTTGATGTTTCATTAAATGGTTTTAATTTTTGTTTTACTGAACTTTCTCAAATGGAGTCAAAAATGAATTTGAAGGGAAAATGTGGGAAGCCGCCATTTTTTCAGTCCCAGCTCTGCCAGATCATATGTGGTAAGTAAAAAAATACATATATACATATGTGATGCGATCTGGAAAAACCCATCACATGGGGAAATTTTACCCATTTCACAACCGTTTTCATTTCTTTCATAGCTTGTCTGTAACGAAAGTTATGGTTATCTGAAGTCGATTGATCGCTATGATTTTCATGAATGGAATTTTGAGAAAAACATTTTTAAAGATACAACAACAGTCAACAGTCAAGTGTCACAAGTAAAAGTCACTTTACTGTGGTAAAGATACAAAATGGTCACTTTGACCCCACTAAAGTTTGACACACGCATGGCTAGAAAGCTGCTGTCAGTTTTACACTCGAGCGGAGATTGAGGCGGCCGTTTGAGGAAACTTCATCATTGGTCCTTCATCGCTGGATGTGAAATAGTCCATTATAACATTGTTTAGGGCAGGGGTTTTCAACCTTTTAGGACATGCGCCAACCCCCCCTTGAGAACGGTGCGGCCGGCAGATTCGACGAAGGAGAAATGATTCCACTTCTGCAGTAAACTGCAGATTGTCTTCTTAAAAAGGAGTCCAACCATAGGTCTGTATTTCAAAGTTTTCATGAATTATAATAATTTAAGTTTGGATAGTGCACTTTCACATCTATGTTCAAAAAAGGGGGGGTGGCACAGATGTGCTTAAAATATTTAAAAACCCTTGCAAAAGGTTAATACTTTCCCTTACCATTTATAATATTTTGGACATTTATGGACTAGGTTGTTGAAAGTAAACTTAATGCTATTACAGTCCCACAGGTAGCCTACTTTCTCCAGTGCACAGGTGAACTTTGAAATTGCTCCATTTTCTAAACCTATTACCACACTCAGAACACTGCAATTTCTTGCCACAATGAGTTTGCAAATAACTCTTCAGATCTACTGAATATCTGAAACTCACACTGAAGTTACGTGAATAGGCCTCTCTGTGGTGTGAACTCTCATGTGGGTATAAAGGGTTGTTTTCCATCTGAAACTCTTTCCACATTGTTCACGTTAAAGGTTCCTCTCCAGCGTGAATTCTCGTATGAGTATTGAGGTTTGTTTTTCTTGTGAAAGTCTTTCCACAGTGATGACACATAAAAGGCTCATGTCTGATGTGAGTTATTACGTGGCTCTTAAAGTGTTTCCTGTCTGTGAATGTACTTCCACACTGAGGGCATATAAAACAGCTCTCTCTTGAATGAATCTCCATGTGCTTATTAAGGCCTTCCTTACGTACGAAACATTTTCCACACTGATCACACGTGAAAGGCTTCTCTCCAGTGTGAACTCTCATGTGAGCTTTAAGATTTCCTTTGTGGTTCGCAGTTTTTCCACACAGTTTGCAGGTGTAAGGCTTCTCTCCAGTGTGAATTCTTATGTGAGAATGAAAGGTTGCTTTATGAGGGAAACTCTTTCCACACTGACCACATTCAAATGGCTTCTCTCCCGTGTGAATTCTCATGTGAATCCTAAGACTTTCTTTTCGTGGGAAACTCTTTCCACACTGTTGGCAGGTGTAAGGCTTCTCTCCAGTGTGAATTTTCATGTGCATCCTAAGATTGTCTTTTCTTGGGAAACTCTTTCCACACTGTTGGCAGGTGTAAGGCTTCTCTCCAGTGTGAATTCTCATGTGAATTTTAATGCTTTCTTTTTTGTTTAAATTCTTTCCACATTGTTGGCAGGTGAAATTACTTCTAGTTCTAGTCTTCTGTGCTCTTTTTTGAGAGGAAGTATTTTCAGTCTGTGAAAAACAAAAAGATTTTTCTCCAGTTATGAAATCATGATGTTTTTCATGCAGATCTTTCTCTTCCATTTCATTCAGATCTTGACTCTCCTCTTTCAGCGCCATCAGGTCTAAGTCAAAAAAGACAAATACATGTTAAGCCCAGTTTAATTTAGACATTTAAAACATCAAAACCAACAATACAACTGTAAGCTGAGATGACGGGCTCAAGCGCCACGGGTCATTGTCACAAATGGGGGGCACATGCTTTAAAGTGAGTAAATAAAGGAGGACTATTTCAAAGTCTGATGTGCTACACTTCCTGCTGCCAGCTGGTGGCAACTGTTTCAAAGTCTGTTGTACAAGACACAGTTCCTGCTGCCAGTTGGTGGCGCTGTGACCATGGCTCACAATAATCACATCCATGTGATCAGCCTCTTTGACCAGTCATACAGCTCAACTTCAATTCCTGTTTTTTACTATAAATTTATCAACATATCAAACATCAAAAACCCATCATCTTCAAATATCTTGGCATTGTGGTGACCAAGTTTGATGAAGTGATGTGACATGTGGCCAAGTATGGTGACCCATACTCGAAATTAGTGCTCTGCATTTAACCCATCCAAAGTGCACACACACAGCAGTGAACACACACCCGGAGCAGTGGGCAGCCATTTTTTTGCTGCGGCGCCCGGGGAGCAGTTGGGGGTTAGGTGTCTTGCTCAAGGACACCTCAGTCGTGGTATTGAAGGTGGGAGAGAGTGCTGTACATTCACTCCCCCCACCTACAATCCCTGCCGGTACGAGACTCGAACCCGCAACCTTTGGGTTACGAGTCCGACTCTCTAACCATTAGGCCACGACTTCCCGATCCATGACGATCACATGGATCCACTAGAAGGAGTGCATACACTATTTACAAAATCCATTTACCATCGTCTGTTGGGTGAAGCTAATAACTGTAATGTTGAAAGTTGTCCGTCTTGATAAGAACAGTATATGTACAGAGTTTGGTGACTATAGGTAACACTGACCTCAGTACTTCAATCAAAAGGGGGCACTACAGAGCCCCCCGCTCAACATCTATGTATTAGACATTTCCTACACCTAATGGCTCACAACTCTGATGTGCATGAAAAATTTCATTAAATTTTAAACGTTTAACATCAAAACACCTGAATGTCCAAAGCCTCAAAATCTTATTGTTGGGCAAAGCTAATAACTGTTGAAGTAAAATCTGTTTGGGTCATTGAGAACACCACAAGTTTTATTAAAAAAAAAAAAAGTACAAATATGTATGATATATTCAGCAATGGTGAAGTACTGTGACGTGTACAAAATGAATTGAGTTTGTAAACATGTAAAGGGCCCGAAAAGTAATAATAATAATCCTTAAAAGAACATTAAACCAATGGGTAAAAATTGTTCAGAAGAAGTAGAGCACTCATCTTGATGGGCAATAACAATCCCTGGAAGTCAATTTAATGGGAAAGTAGAGTTAAGAGTCTCTGGATTACAGGTAAAATAATGTAAACAATGTTGAGATCCTTGCACAGACTGATCGTTTTGCTTTATAAGACCTTGAAGGATCTGAGGATCCTCAAATGCAAACTGTGTGTGTTTTGTTTCAAGAGAGCAACCATACATTTTTGTTGTGTTTTACTTCTTTTTTTATATTCTTTATTTATTCATTTATAATCATTTATCATTTAATCATTTTACTATTCCATTTAATCATATAATAATTTATAATACTCATTATAGTCATTTATATATTTACATTTAGTCATTTAGCAGATGCTTTTATCCAAAGTGACTTACAAATGAGGACAATGGAAGCAATCAAAATCAACAAAAGAGCAATGATATGCAAGTGCTATAACAAGTCTCTTAGCTTAACACAGTACACGTAGCAAGTTCTTTAAAAATTATATAATAAATAAAAAGAAAACAGCTAGAATAAAAAAAACAATAGAGCAAGCTAGTGTTAGAGGCCTTTTTTGCTTTTGTTAATTGTATAATAAATAAAAAGAAAAGAAATAGAATACAAAAAGATTAGAAAAGCTAGTGTTAGTATTTTTTTATAAAGAAAACAAGCAGTAAATGAATAGAGTGCAAGTGTAAAATGGGACATTTTTTAAGAATAGAATTAGAATAGAGAGTGCCAGAGTTTGAGGGTCAAATAAAGATGGAAAAGATGTGTTTTTAGCCGATTCTCTCCAAGATACCTTGAAGGACCTATCTGAGAGGTCAGACTCAAACCACTGGAGTGCGATTCCTGAGATGCCCTTTGCCAATAGGGTTGACAGGAGGATCTGGTGGTTAACCGTGTCAAAAGCAGCGGACAGATCCAGCAAGATAAATATTGAAGATTTGGAATCCGCTCTTGTCAGTCTTAGGGCTTCAACAACTGAGAACAAGGCAGTCTCGGTTGAATGTCCACTTCTGAAACCAGACTGGTTGCTGTCGAGGAGGTTGTTCTGTGTTTTTGCAATGAAAGGAAGAAGGGAAACCGGTCTGTAGTTCTTTAAAAGAGATGGGTTAAGGGTGGGTTTCTTAAGTAGTAGGGGTTATATGAGCTTGTCTAAATGTTGAGGGAAAAACACCAGTGTAAAGGCAGTGTTTCCCACACATAGACTTTACTTGGTATATTAACAGCCGCCCAAGTATATTTGGTGAAACATTTTTGCTTTTAATATTTTTATCTTCTTATACTAATATTTTTTTCAATTTTATGTATGTTTTTTAAATTTATCCGTCCAAAATAATAGAACCATCCACGATCGATTAATAACTACTAGGGATGGGTATAGTTTACATTTTATCGATACTGATACCGCTGATCGATACCGGTACTTATCGATACGGTTATCGATACTATTTGGTGCAAAAAGATGTGAAGTGAAAAGTTGTTGAAAATTTTAAGTTATTTTATTACTGCTGAACTTTAGCAGCTGTATTAAAGTTCTTCAGTCAAGAGCAGTGAGTTATTTTTATCTTTGTGTTTTATTTTATTAACATTAAAGGAATAGTTCACCCAAAAATGAAAATTATGTAATCATTTACTCACTCTGAAGTTGTTTTAAACCTGAATGAGCTTCTTTCTTCTGTTGAACATAAAAAGTTATTTTGAAGAATGTGGGAAACTAAACAGTTGCTGGTCCCCAGTGACTTTCATATTTTTCCCCCTACTAAAGTCAATGGGGACCAGCAACTGTTTGGTTACCCACATTCTTCAAAATATCTTGTTTTGTGTTCAGCAAAAGAATAAATAAAAATTAATGCGTTTGGTACATCATGACTGAGTAAATAATGACAGAATTTACATTTTTGGTGAACTATCCCTTTAATGACAGGTGGCAGCATGTTTAGTACTGCCGCTTTAAGAGCTGCACGCATCTGTTTTTCTCTCAACTGTTTACTTTCACTTTAGACATAATTAACTGTGTTTATATGTAAGCCTTGTGTGTTTTAGTATTCGCACAATCAGACGATAACTAAGTAATCAGGTGCTGTTTGACTGGCCTTTTAGTGTACGCAAACTTCAGGTGTACGCGCTCTGAACAAGCGCATGCCAGAACAGCACGCAAATGAAATGTTTAAATCCCAAGTTATTGCTTGATTCAGCATTTACTGTTGTATACAGTTATTGAATGTGTGATGTGTCAAATAAAAAAACATTTTCCAAATAAAATACATTCTAAAATAGCATTCATTTCTGTAGAGCTGAACATTTTAATAAGGATCAAATGAATGAGTTCAGCTTTGAGAATAAAAACCAACCTGTTTGTTCCTCAGTATCTTCATGTTTGTCTCTGAATGTTTCTTCAATCTTCATGTCTTCACTCTCCTCTTTAATAAACTCCATCTTTATAATAGTGTCACGTGGATCTCAGTTAAATCACCAGTTTTTCTGTGTATTTGAACACTTTGTCCTGTTTGAAATGGGAATAATAAACAGGAAGAAAAATAAATCTCTAAAATTATCTAAATAACACAAAATATATAATAAGTGTCATTGTTGTAATAAGATACATTACACTTTCATGAAAACATTCGAAGTTTGTTTGGAGAAGTTGCGATTACACGTTTGTGTTTGTATTTTGAGCAGCGTGCGGTGAATCGAGCGTTTCGAATCACTGAATCATTTGACAATTGATTCGTTTGACCCTGAGTTTCGAACAGATGCGTTTCTCCATCACTGCTGGCCAGTGACTGGATTTATGTTTATGATAAACTGAGCGAAATAAGACGCACCTTTCCTGTTATTCATGCGCCTTACTCACACAAAATAACCTTTATTAATGTCACTAAGTAAGCAGTTTTACATTCACTAATAATTCATTTCAGTTTTATGCAATACAATTCTCTAAATAAGTTGTATTGATTCAAACTCTTTAAATGATTAAAAGCACACACCTTTCTTCAGCCGAATCACTGACGCAGCCTTATGACGTCATAACCAGACCAAAATAAAAGCATTTTACATTAAAAAAACAAATATAAATAATAACGTATAGAATTAATTGGAGAGATGAACTGCACAAGCTATCAATACCACTGAGCTTAGATATCTAGTTTATATCTAAATGTAAACAACTGTGAAATGCTTTCAATTCATGAGTAATTAAGATAAACTCCCGTATCTTGGTCTTCAAATTACAGGACTACAAAGAACTTCTGAATATTTCAAACTCATAAGAGTTTGTGAATCCAAATCAAATTTGTGGCTGCAGACAGATTTAACTGTTTATTAACTGAAACTGAATCCTTATGACAAATTGTATTCATCTGACTACATCTGAGTTTCTCCCCAGAACATAAAGACAATAAATCTAATTTCAGCTTTATTTCGTTAAAGTGGATTTCATTAAAGGTCCATGACTGAAGAACACATGCTGAAAATGAACAAATCTTCTGTAAGGACTTGATGGAAAGGATAATATGGTCTGTATTTGAGCTTATAGATTTCAGTGGTAATGTTTTTTTTTTTATATTAGCAGTTTGGTTTAAAATAGTTTTTGCAGTATAATGGAATATGGATCATTACCTTTTCAGTTTCTTTAATTGGCAAAAAAACATGACAGCATATTCAGTTGTTACTCTTCATCTTCCCTTCCCTTA